GAATTTTAAGTGAAAAATGTACTCACCTTGAACAAGGTGAATTCCTTGGGACAGCAGTAACAGAGACAGAAGATGAAGACCCTTTAGGGCCATTGTTAAAGGTTCAGTTTTCCTCCTGTGTTTCACTGCAAAGCTGTTATTTTGGTCCGGTGTGTGAACTCATGCTCAGTCTGCAACCATGACTCTCTGAAGCCAAATGATTCGAAGTGTGGTGATGAGTCTGAGCTTGAGATGTAAAACCCTGAGCAGGCAGCAGATCAGTAATGTGACAACGGAGTAAAACTGGTTTTTATGGCTCGTTATTTTGCGTAAACTTCATCTAAGATTAACTTTTATCTGTCAATATCTTGTCTACGCCAGCAAAAAAGAGTAAACACTAATTTTTAGTAACTTTATGACAGGAAGTTCACAGCCAGTTCCTGACACAAATCAGGAATCATCAAGAATTTTTTTTTAAATTCCTGTGACAGGAAGATTTTGAGCATTTTCTGATGGAACCAGTCACATTTCAAAACATTTATGTTATTGAAGTTGTTTAAATATTTGATCAAATTAAATGTTTTCTCATCAGTTTAGCTTCATGTAGAGATTAATGGGTGAATGGTTATAAGAGTTTTATCATTTTTCATGATTATTATTTAAAACAGCCCTTAATAAATCCTAAAAGTATGTAAAAAAAAAACAACAACACCAAAAAAAATAGTTAAGCTATTGAATTATCACAAAAATGCAGAAATGTTTATTATGATTTAAAATGTAAAGAAACTCTTTCAAAATGAGTGGAAATGAAAACAAGGATTTATTAAGCTTAATGTGTAATGGATGAATTATAAAATGCCTCCCAATTGTGAATTGATTGTTATATTGCATTGTAGCTTCATGGAGATGTTTTACAACATCCCAACACATGACTTTTGAGATAACAGTGCCTAAAATGTGAATCATTACCTAAAACTGGATAAGTGAGAAATGTGAAACAACTGCATGTGGCAAACTGCTTAGCATGAGCCTGGTTCTTGTCTGTTCTATTTTGAATGCCAAAGTTCAGTACTGTGCTGTAGATTTTCCCATAATTTCTAAATTTAAAATCTTTTCAGAACATAAATGCCACGTGAAAAAGTCATAATGCACCAAAAATGCAAAAGTATGTAAACAAAGGCTATTCAATGATGTGAAAAAGTGTTTTGAACATTGACCTACTCTACGTGGCAGAATTGTTTTAATCCAGCCACATTGGTGGACTTTCCTGCATTATTTTCTCCTTGGCAGCATCAGTTCCAGGTTGTTCTAATTCTGAAATGCTTTGTTAGTTTTATGCCAAAGATTAAAAGATTACCAAGATGTTTTCCTGCAAATGTGACACCTTTGTTTTTTTTTGGATAAGTGGTGTTGTCACTTTGGGACTTTCTCATAAAGGCCATTTTTGTCCAGTGTCTTTCTAAATGCAGAATTGTGAATCATTACACGTCTGTAATGACTTTAACTGAAGAAACTGTTAACTGTTTTCTAAATTTGCTTATCCAAGTTTCTTTAAGATGTCGCTTGATTTTGGCGTGAAGAGTTTGCTGTCTTTGTTTTCTGAGAGCAGCAGAAATGTCCCTTCAACAGTTGGTCATCTTGAACAGTATCTGTTCGGAAACACTACGTCAGATCCCTCCTAATTTCAGCTGATGTTCCACATATGCATGTACAATTATATGTCCATACATTTTCATTTTTTTTCCAGGTAAGGACCAGGAAGTTTCACCAAGATGCAATGTGCAGCAGTATAATGTTATATTAATCCCACATTACTGGAAAATTATCATCCTTGCACTCAGTAAAAACTGACAATAAGCAGCTTTTGCTGAGATTCTTTATTGGACTTTTATAGTGGTTATGTTGTCACTAAAGTTCTTATCAACTGGTTTATGGCTTTTCAGTAGGAACAAGAAGCAAAGTCATTTCAGTGTCTAAATGACTCAGGGAAAAAACGAGACTCAACAGCATGCAGCTTCGGAAACCGGTTAATTAGATATTCAACTCACCAAAATTTAAAGTTCTAAAACACATTAAATAAATTAATTTGTTCTTTAATAATTTGTTGTTAGTCTTTTCTTTTGTGCTAACCGATATGCTGGGAGAGAAGGTGATGTTCATCCAAAGGCTGTGCACTCTGACAATAAACTTGCTGAAGAATCAAGTAAAACATTGTTGCCCTCCAGTGGCAGTTTTTTAAAAAGGAATGCAAACTGCAATCACTTTCAGATATAAATGGTTTGAAAATGACATAAGTTCATCCTGAAATTAGACTGAAAAACAGTTTCCCCCCTAAAAAATGTAATTTTTAGCTTTATAGAAATTATTTGAAATGTTCTAAATTTGGGCTGGAATGATTGCGGTTCACACAAACTGAAATTATTCTTAAAATGAATCATTTTGATGCACAGGTTGAAAATGATAAATTTAGGATGATAGTCAGTCTAAATGCTTATTTTCAGAATCTTTCATTTCCCAAACTTTTGACGTTTTTTGAGTTTTATTTTCTTACCAAACATCCAACTTTCAACCGTCTGAGCTAAATTAACTCACAGATCGGATCGAACAAACACACCTGGAGCAGAACAAACCAAACTGAAAATCTATGGATTAAGTTGTCAGTGAAAGCAACTAATTTAAAATGATCTGTAGCAATTAAACCATGAAGAGTGTTGAAATCTTCAGACAGGAAAGAATGATACACTGCCAGAAAAGACACGTTAATAAAAAAAAACCCAGTGGGATGCAGACCATAATATACCTTCTTGAAATCCAGTTATGTCTGTAATACGTTTTTTCAATACTGGAGAAAAAGTCTTGTCTTAATCACCCAGGCTTACAATAAAGTTTGAAATGAAATTATTATTTTTGGACAGTAATATTTGATTATAATTATCAATATAAAAACATACTTGCTCTTCATTACACAGAAATACACTATTTTGTCAACTGATGCATTTTCTTTCTTTGTTTATTCTTGAATTATTCCATGCTTTACCTCATGCTTTACCTCATGCTTTATAAGTTGTATTTTTAATGACTAAACATACATAAAAGATTGTAAGCTGTAGTTCCTCTTAAATAACAGTAGTTGTCAGCAAAGTGTTGGAATCCTGGGTTTAGGATTTCATTACAAATTCAAATCTCTCTCTGAATGCCAAAAATTTATTTTTTAAAAAACATCAGCTTAATGAATATTTATAGATCTAAACTGCTTCTGTGTTGAGAGCTGGGTAATTCATAAATACCTAGGGCCACAGTGCTGAAGAAAAATCATGTCAATGGCCAAACGTATAACTAAATTCACTGTTAACACCATGTGACATTGTTAACTTAAAACATTTGATACAGACAAAAATGTTGACATGTGAGAGTCTGTTCCAGTTATTGAGAGAGACGTGCTGCAAGGATTACATGTCCAACTCTTTAAAAAGGTGCCAAAACAAATGTGTAATCTTTTTGGCTTTGTAGTGAAGATTTCACAAATAATACCAAAGTTTCACAAATAACAAACTGAGTGTGAAAGATGGTGTCATCTGTATAGAATAATCTCAAATGTGAAGAGTTTCAGTTTGGCGTTTCTAAACTAGAACAAATTAAGGATTTTCAATGTAGCAAAAAATTCCCTTTAGCCATTTCCTGGGTCAAAAGTCAACTTCATTAACTATGTATGTAGGTTAGCAAATAAATCAATCTTAAAAATTATTTCCATGTGAACAGATTACAGGTGGGGAAGTTGTAAAAATAACAAACGAGACAGGGAATGTTACCTTTCTTCCTCTTGTTTATTATTATCATCTTTCTGTGACCTATAAAGTCAAAGGCAGATACAGTCTATGATTTCAGATTAGTGAGAAATAGCATGAAAAATAAAATCTGTCCTCTAAAGTCAAAGGTGGCCTATTTTCAATAACTATATATCGTCTTTTTGGATTTGGTTGCACACCATCCTCAAAACTATTTGCAACTTGAAGGGAAGTCAATGAGTCAAATATTTGCATGACAAGCTTTAGTATAAAGACATTTAATCTGCAGAAGAACATTTGTGCACCACTTTGGTGTGTTTGAAAAGCATTCAATTTAAATTTTCTAAACTAATACAGAGAAATTTACCATTTAGTAAATGGTAAATTTACTAATGGGCAGAAAAACATGTCAAAACAATTTAAAATAATTTTTTAATGCAATTTATTATTTTTTTTTATCTTTGCGTGAATCTACATGCCTCAATTGCCTGCCTCTTTGCTGATGTTACACCAGAATTAACCTCTTGTGAATATTTCTATTCTTTTCGACACCAGACAATTATATCTGGGTCTGGAAATAAAATCCTACCTCACTTTCTCCTTCACCTGCCTCAGTTAAAAGTCTTTACAAAACAAACTGTTTCTGATTTAATGTAACATTTTTTAAAGCTCATGAGGTCAAATGTACAAATAATAAAACTGTATTCATTGTTATATAGAAAATGTACAAAAACAGCAATTAAATGTTTACCCTGTTTGATCCATATTTTTAATTTCCATACACTTTGACATGAATATAAAGCACTTAGCGTGTTGCATGACCCAAATAGAAAACTCTGGATTGATTTAAGATAGTTTTTTTTCATCATAACAATAAACTTCCTTTTTACATATTTCATTTTATTGATGGTATTTTGACCCATATCCTTAATCTGTGACACTTCCTAAAATATATGGCAGATACAGTTTATGATTGCAGATGGTGAAATCAAACCATCCCCCAAAAAACAAACAAACCATGGTCTCTCTTTTTGGTAACCCATTTAGTGCTTATCAACGCCCTGGGAAGAGACGTTACTGTTTATAAGTTCCCCTTCAGGTTTGACTTCACATTCATTGTACATTTCTAGGTCTCAGGTGTCAAACACACATAGTTCACACTGCTTTCAGTCTTTTGTGAGGTTTTATCCTTCCATTTATTATTTTTTTGTTTTTGCAATGGCTGAAACATTGATCATGACTGTGATCCTTTTGATTTCTGTTGCCTCCATTGGTAAGTGGCTACGTTTTCAGACTTTATCTTTAACTTGTTTAAAAATTGTTGAGCAGGAAGAGATTATTTGTGTACTAGTTAGATGCAGTATCCAAAGGATTACAATTAAGGCAGGTTAATATTTTAACAGATTATAACTATTAGAAAAGATTTATTTACTTTTGTGGTTCTTGTAACAGAAATTACCCCTAGAACATAAAAGAAGAAACCAGTGTAATTACCATATTATTTTTAAATGAGCGCCTCAAGCTGCAAGAAATTCAAAACCCAGACAACCAGACAACAAATAAACAAAAAGATATTGCTCCTAGTCTGGCATTTACCGGTTTAATGCACAAGCAAGTACATTTGTTTTCAATCACAGCTAATGTCTACAGACTGAAATGCAGAAACCCAAATTAAAAGAAATACATTATACTATTTACCTAAAAACATCCAAAAAGATTTATTCTTTAAAGATGACATGCATTTACTGGCGCTGTTATTGTTATTGCAGTAGCTCTATCAACATCAACTCCAGCAACAACTGCAGCAGCAACCCAAATGGGAGCAACAGGAGCTCCAACTAGAACTACAGCAGCTCCAACTAGAACTACAGCAGCTCCAACTAGAACTACAGCAACTCCAACCACAACCACAGCAGCCAACTACACCTACAGCAGCTCCAACTACCCTACAGCAGCTCCAACTACAACTACAGCAGCTCCAACCACAACCACAGCAGCTCCAACTACACCTACAGCAGCTCCAACTACAACTACAGCAGCTCCAACTAGAACTACAGCAGCTCCAACTACAACTACAGCAGCTCCAACTAGAACTACAGCAGCTCCAACTACAACTACAGCAACTCCAACCACAACCACAGCAGCTCCAACTAGAACTACAGCAGCTCCAACTACAACTACAGCAGCTCCAACTAGAACTACAGCAGCTCCAACTAGAACTACAGCAGCTCCAACTACAACTACAGCAGCTCCAACTACAACTACAGCAACTCCAACTACAACTACAGCAGCTCCAACCACAACTACAGCAGCTCCAACTACAACTACAGCAACTCCAACCACAACTACAGCAGCTCCAACTACAACCACAGCAGCTCCAACTACAACTACAGCAACTCCAACCACAACCACAGCAGCTCCAACTACAACCACAGCAGCTCCAACTACAACCACAGCAGCTCCAACTAGAACTACAGCAGCTCCAACTACAACCACAGCAGCTCCAACTACAACCACAGCAGCTCCAACTAGAACTACAGCAGCTCCAACCAGAACTACAGCAGCTCCAACCACAACTACAGCAGCTCCAACTACAACTAGAACATCTCCAACTACGACAACTACAGCAGCTTCAATGACAACTACAGTAGCAGGAGGCCAAACAGCATCTTCAGGCCCTACAAGTAATTCAGGTATTTCACAAACACAATAATTTAATACGCCTCGCTCCATTAAAATAACTGTGTATATAATTCACTTAAAGTGTGAAATTCTTTCATTGCGTGTTTATTGTTTTCTCTTAATTATCAAAGAAGACACTATAAGAGAAATAATGATGAAAAAATTTACATGTGGATTTTAAACAAATATGTTCCTATTCTAAAGATTCTAAGGCTTTTAGTCTGAATTATTTTCTAAGTAGGACTTCCATTACACTTATCCAGAATATCTATACTAAATTAATCAAAAATGATTTTTGTTTTTGTTTGGGAGCTTGTTTGACTTCTTTTTTTCTTTAAAACATGCTTATTTTTAACATTTTTAATAAAAATGGCACCTCTGCATGAACAAAAAATGTTGTTGGTGTTAAATGTCATGATTTTTGTCAAGACTTTAAGTCTGAGGATGTTTTGGATTGAATGCGCATGTTATGTTATGAAGTTTTCTGATATCATCAACCTTCTTTTCTGTTCCATTCGAAAGCCAAAAACCTTTGTGATTCCAATCCGTGTGACAATTCATCTACAACATGTAAAGCTGCAGCCGGCACTTTCACATGCAGCTGTGTAGATGGCTACATTAACACGGATTACAGTGACAGATTATGCCTGGGTAAGGATATTTAACAATCCAGAGGGTTGAAATATTTCACTGTGCACTAATTGTAGTGTAACTTTCTGTACTTTAGCATGTCCCCCTGGTCAGAGGGCTGTGAACAATGATTGTAAACCGTAAGTGCATCGATCTGACTGTTCAACTTTATGGTTTTCTGAAAGTAGAACAGTTTCAAATGAAACAATTTCTTCTTTTCAGATGTGACTTTGGTCGTACTGGCTTCAACTGCGAGGATGGTGAGTATACAGAAGAATCCTCAAACCAGACAAGAGCTTGGACTTAGTATATCACCTAAATTTTGAGATTGACAGTCAGAGTATTGAATTGTTTGCAAAGAAAACACCAAATTTATACTTCATATGCACTCCACTGAACGGAACGGAAAAGCAATTTTGAGGCAATTGTTTTCTAAAGTACAATTTTAAAAAAATGATGAAGTAGTGTTCATCATTAGGTTCGACCTGGAGCTTTTTGTCCTCACTAATCCAGCTATACTGTGCAACATTATTTCAAATTTTATGGCGTTCACTATTAATCTGACAGCATCGGATCATTTTTCTAATTCAACTGACTTTTGCGAAGCTGCCCTGGGTGGTCTATCACATTTTCCACACAACAAATTACCACTGTGAGGAATTTTCACATAACTTCAGCATGTTTCTTTGGGAAATTGTTTAAAAATCTTTTCGGAAATATGTAAGATACAACCAGCCACATGCAAATGAAAATATTTCTGCTAGTTTGACAAACAAAGGCCAGTAATACTACAAAAGTCTTATTTTAAAAAGCTATCAAATCTATATTAACATCCACTGAAAAAGAAATATACGGTACTTCTTTCTTTTTCCACTGAGTTTTTAAGGTTTTGATAAAATATGCTTCTGCTTCTCTGTTGTTAGAACGGTTGTTGATCGTTGTGATTGTTTCCTCTGTCCTCGGATTCCTGCTGGTCCTCACGTTAATCGCTCTGCTAGTGGTAGTGAAAAAGTAAGTTTGAATCCTGTTCATTTATCACTTTAGTGACTTTTATAATCACCTTTGTCCTTTTTATAAAAATGCATTCATACTTCTGCATTAGACTGCAAACTATGTAATATGTGCAAAGCCATTTCAAAGTTGGGTGGTTTTACAAATGAGTTACAGAGAATTGTAGAAATCTAACCTTAAGCAAAATGAAGCAGGGGAGACACTGTTGCATAACTTTCTTTTTCTCAGATTTAAGAGGACTAAATTCTTTAGGACCAAACAGGAGAACATTAGGAAACCGTTCCAAATCCCATCTCTTGGCAAAGGCCCACTGTTCAGCATCAGCAATGGCTATTACACCTGGCTTAAAGAGCCAGTAAGCAGCCCAGCAAATTCTGGGGCCCCACAAATCCCAGGGGCCAACAATGGGGACATCCTGGAGATGACTCAGCGGAACAACAAGGAAATCTCAGTGGGTATACCTCTCAACAGGACGGCGTGAAGATAAACATCTGTTTGATTTACTCACAAATTTGGACATCTTTTCTTCTCTGCTGCAGGCATTTGATGACAACCAAGTTGACATGGTGTCATTTTCCCAGAGTTAACTCAAGAAGAACCGCAATGTCCAGAACTGAGACATGAAACCTTACGCTCAGATCCAAGACCAGAGGGAAGAGGGAAGCTGAATCACTTCAGGGGTTCCTATAGCGGTGTTTTTCCACAAACACTGTAATTTATTGGAACCATTTTGATATAAAACATGTAAACAGAAGCATTTCAGCTAAGATGTGCAATGTAATGTGGCAGCTTGTATTATAAGTTCCTTAATACTTTTAGCTGCAACTGTGTGACTCTTATACTCCATTCTGTTGTCACAAACCAGTTTATAATTACAATTTCAATCACCCAATCTCCCAGTTCTGTATGTTAATTGATCTTAAAGACATGATTCCTTTCCACTGAACACAGGCTGAACATAAATCATACATTCTCATTTATGATTTATGTATGCTGTACTTTGAAAACTTAATAAGTATAAACATAAAAAAATATATATTTGTTTTCTTCATTTTTTTAATATACTAGAGTTGTTTTTCAGGTTTAATTTGAGTCTCAGTTTCAGGTTTAATTAAGTTTTGGTGAATAAGACGAACCAAGATTTTATCCAAATACAAAATATGAAGATAAGGAATAAAGAGAAACAGGAACTGAAGAGTGTGAATGCTGCAGGGATTCACACTAATTATTGTAATGAACAGCTGGGGTGAAATAAAGAAAATCCAGTCTTAATTACAGGACTGCCCCCTGGTGCTCAGTGTTCATATTGACACTGTGCAGCGTACTTATTGTGCACAAGCCTACCTTCTTGTGCTTTTCATGCAACTCCATTCAAATCTAGTTTACAGATTTACAGCTGCAATTTCTACCAGGTGAATCAGCGAAAAGAAGAAGTTGAGAAAGAAGTTGAGAAAGATGATGTTGATCTTCTGCGCTGCTTTAGAATTGTATTCTGCCTGTAATTTTAGGAATGCAATGGAGGATGGTTGTTTTCAGTGCAGACGATTCACGGTAAGCTTTATAGTGTGGAACTGATGCATTATATACATCCTGGCCATGGCCTGCAATAATAAAGCCATAGCGCTTACGTAATGATGCCCTGAAATTAAGAAGTTCCTACTTTTGTCTGTTAATTGCTGCAGGTGGTGCTCTGTTGGAGCTGAGAGGGAACGCCTCTGTCAGGCAGTAGCTCTGCTGGAGACTGCTGCTGAGCTCCTCCTTGCTCCCATAAAGCAAGCATTTAGGGTTGCTTTAGTTTTGGCACCCCTTGAATGGTTACCATGGGAGGTTCAAGGATTCCTCAAACATGCAAGAAAGAATAAAAGCAACACTCTGGGTTTGTTTAAGAGATAATGACATAATAAAATGAAATAATGCTCAACGAGGCTGGAACCAGGCATCGAAATAAAGGCTTTCATTAGACAAGCCTGGAACTTTAGCCACATTAAAAGCTACTGGAAAATATGATCTATTATGTATCCATAAAAACATAGCATAATAAAGGAACTGAACTAAAATGAATAGAACTTAATAGTCCACAAGACCAAAAGTCTTCAGATTTGAAATTTTTTGGTCTTGTAACCTGGAAGACATGAAAAAATAATACATATTTAAACATACACATATTAATATGAAAGAGGAGATCAATGAAAATTGAAGGAAGGAAGGTATTGATTTTGGTTCATGATCCCAAAGCCAACTAATGTGCTCTGAAATATGGTTAGTCTTTTAATAGTAAGAGAATAAATACCACATTACCACGATCTTTAATTGCATTCCTTTTTATTCTATGAGATAAAAAAAATATATAATTTATGTAAAACTTCAGGTTTGGAGCCCTCCACTGGTCAAATTAGGTTATTACAATATAACAAGTTTTAACACATTTAGACAAAAAAAAGTTTAATATATTTTACTTATATTGCACCTTTTTAGCCAACTACACTCCTTAAAGTGCTTTACAACAGAATCTTTGTTCTCATCTCATTTATCCAAACACACATGCATTTTCAGTGAGTGTGCCATTAGCAGTCAGCTATAATACACCAAAGTCATAGCAATCAAATGTTTTGCATCACTGGTTTGTAACTAGACCAAGAAAAATAAAAAAAAGTTATGCAAACATTGATAAATATCCCAAACCATTGGAGTTGTGACAATTTTCCTTTTACATGAAACACATTAACAGATTTAAGGAAATCTCCTGTTGATCTTATTGACAAGAACTTAAATAAACATAAAACTAAGGCACAAATTAAACCTGTAATTCTTACAGAAAACAACTCTAGCAAAATTCATAGATTAATAATAAAAAAATAAATTATCAGGTGTCTTTTTGCTCAGTCAGAAAGAAAACAGAGAATAAATAGTGCATTTAATACCAAGAACTGAGAGACTGGGTGATTAAAATGCAGGATTTATAAACCAAACATTATGATTTTGATGATGAAAGCCAGACTGGTTTAAGGCAGCTTTTAACAGCCCAGACTATTTGTCACACAATACAAGCTAAAAGTAGTAAAGGAACACAGGATACAATATCTATCACATTAATTGCACATTTCTGTTGATAAGCTCCTGTTTACATCTTTTACATTGAGGAAGTTCAAATGTAATGCAGTATCTTTGGATAAACACCACTGTAGGAATTCCTACAGAGATCCAACTTCCTGCTCCTTAATTAGAGTCTGGTCTGGTCTGTGGTTTGATTCTGGGCGTAAGGGTTTCTTATAGATAAGACGTTCTTGTAGGGGATGCTGTCTGGTCCAATCTGGGAAGAATAAAAACATGTCATTTTGACTTTTGCTGAATTGCTGCAGGACAAATGAGGACATGAGAATTTGCAAGCTAATAAAACACAGATGTTTGCCTTTGCGATGTCTTGTGCAGAGGTGTACTCACAGTGTTTCTCCTTGAAGTAGTCGAGCTTTGTTGGCTGCTGCTTGGAGAAATCTCCGTGTTGATCTTGCCAGTCCAGCTGCTGCTGAGTTTGGCGCGTGGGATTGGTGGGACACCAGAATTTGCCAGGGTGTTTTCTGGTTCTTTGATACAGGTGAAAAAGCTAGCACTGCTACTGTAGGATTGTGGATTCTTGTCAAAGGAAGGGATATTGTACGGTTTCCAAATCTCTTTTTCTTTGCCCTTGGACATTTTTCTCTTGAATCTGAAAAGAAAAAAGAGTACTGAAACCGTCTGTCCTACTGTGTAGTGTTTATAGTTAGATTTCTATGGGCAGCAGCAATTAATTTGTAAAAGCACTTCGCACACCTAAAGTACAGTTTTAGAAAAAAAACAAACAAATAAGAGAGAGGTAATTGTAAAAAGTCACTAAGGTGATAAATGAAAGAGATTCTAACTTACGTTCTTGTTAACAGCGGCAGAGTGATCAACGAGACGACAAGCAGGCATCCGAGAACAGGTGAAACGATCACAAGGATCAACAACGAATCTACAAAACAACAGTCACTAATTAGTCTCAGAATTTCTATGATCTTGAAACAACAAGATCTCATAACATTTTAGAGAACATTTTGCATCAAAACTTTGCAAAAGTGCATTTGAATGTATTCGCCGTAGCCTTTACAGCAAAAAGTTACATTTAAATAATAAAAAAACGTAATAGTTATTTAGTTGATGTTGTTTTGTTTTAACATTACTTTGATCATTTTCTATGCAAAGACTTTAGTAGTGCTATTGGACTTTATAATTCCTTTGCAGCTACAGACAGATACAGCAGCAGGTGGCTGTACCTTTGCCTCAGAGTTTTAAAGTCTAAAAAAAACATCCTGAAATTGCAGATTTTTATGTGGACGATGCCAGGGACCATCCAACACAGCTTGGCTAAAGTCAGTCACACCAAAGAAATGTTCTGCTGCTGTCAGCTCAACAGACAATAATCAAAAATAATCAATATATAAAACTTTGTTCTTGACTTCCAAGGACAAAGTTAAAATAATATTTTGCAATATAACATAATATACTAAATACAAGCCTCCCTCCAAAAAAAAAACTTCTTATAAACATAACAATAAATGTCTTGATGTACATGCTTTGATTTTCACTACTGTACACTCACCATCCTCGCAGTTCATGCCAGAACGACCAAAGCTACATCTGAAAAAAATAAATAGAAAAGTTTAACTTGAAACAGTTGTACTTGGAGAAAACCATAAAGCCAGACAATCAGGTCGATGAACTTACTTTACACATTGGTTGTTCACAGCTTTCTGACCAGGGGGACACGCTGAAGTACAGAAAGTTACACTATAATCAGTGCACAGTGAAATATTTCAACTCTCTTGATTGTTAAATATCCTTACCCATGCATAATCTTCCACTGTAGTTTGTTGTAATATAACCATCTAAACACGTGCACACGAAACTGCCCACTGTAGGGTTGCACTTTGTAGTTATTTTGTCGCATGGATCGGAACCACAAAGGTCTTTCACTTTAAATGGAACAAAAAAGAAGATTGAGGGGATCAGCAAATTTCATGACATAACAAGCACATAATATCAAGAACATCACTGGTATCTAAATTCCTCAGAGATCTTAGAATCCTAAGAAGTACATATTTATATTAAACCCACATGTAAAGTTTCCAGGCAGTGGACAGCTTTCGCAGGTGACATTTTTCATACTTTCTGTTACAATGTCTTCTGTGACGTTAGACGTTGCTTCATAGATGGTTTGGACTGATGCTTCAACGTTGCCTGCGTTTGACCTTACTACCGGTTTTATTTCCCTGAAATAAAAATATGAAAGAGAATATTAGTAAGTCCTTATCATTATGTCTAAAAAAACACAGATTTAACACTGAAACTTACCGGAGCTCCAGGACTAATGTCAAAATGAATCCATGTTTATTTTTGAACTCTTTGTCAATCTGTGTATTAAAAATTGTATTTTAGAACAAAATGCCTTTTGAAATATAAAGCACAGGTGAGACCACTAGAATATAATTTTGGCATCTGGAACAAAATAAAATACAGAAAAAAGAAAATGAAAGCTTACCGCATCAGTAATTTTATCTGAAATCTTTTTAAATAGTTCTGATGTTTTGTCGGCCATTTCAGGAACATATTTGTCCGCTAAGGCCACCAGAGCAGGGAAAACCTTGGCTATTTGGAAAAAACAAAATTAGTTAGAAAGGCATGTAATTTATTTCAGATTAAGTCATAATGTGACTCAGTATGTGTCAAAAAGTCATCATTTTATTTTTTATGCATAATTTTTTAAGATTGATTTCAGTTGTCAGTTTTAATTTGGAGTTTCAAAGTCACCAACAGGGAGCAGCTAACTGGGTTCCAAAATTACATTCATATCCAAGTCCTTTTATAACAGACCATAAAGCAAAGCCGGATAGGTCATTATTTCTTTAACTTGTAGCTCTAATGAAGTTAGCCCACTTCTACAGGGCCAGCCTTAACAATTTGGCTGCCCTAAACCAAGTGATATTGCCAGCAGCAGCATTCTGGACCAGCTGCAGCAGATGTCTAACTGACTTTTGAGAAAAACCTGTGAAGACACTGTTGATAATCAATTCAATGAAAGATGAATGCATCTTAAGAAGAGTTTCTTAAGATCTTGTTTGGACATAAGTCGTTAAACTCTAGAAATGCTTTTCACGTGACAGAAGGCCACCTTTGTAAATGTCATCATGTATCTCTTAAGTATTCAGTCTGAATTAATCTCTACACTAAATTTTGGGACTGATCAATAGCTTCTTTATGAAAATTAACACGTTGCCTCTAATGAATACATTATGAGAAGCAATGTATTTTACATTCAGATACTTACCCTTCTGACAGCCTTGTCGATAAACTTCTCCCGGAAGACACAAGCACTTGTAAGTCTGGTTTGCACGTTCTTCACAGGTGCTTCCACCAACACATGGGCTTGAAGCACACGGACCTTGATGATTAAGACAAGAACAAATGCACAATTTGGCAAATTATATTGAGTTAAAAAATTCTATAACATACTTGTAGGTTTGGTAGTTGTTGATGGCATGCTGTAGCTGGTATTGAAACAGCAGAAGTTTTTGGTGGACCTGCTGTGGTTGGTGATGTTTCAGCTGTTGTGGTTGTTGTAGGAGGTGTGGTGGTTGCAATTGTAGCTTCTGATGTGTTTGTGGTTTGTGATCCAGTAGTATTAGGGCCTGGAACTGTCGTGGTTATGATTGGAGCTCCTGTTGAAGCTGGTGTGGTTCTAGTAGGAGCAGAAGTGTTTGTGGTTTGAACTGGCATGTTTGTGGTCAGAACCCCTGTGGTGGTTGTGGTTGGAGCTGCTGTAAAGTTTGGGGCTCCAGTAGTTGTTATGGTTGGGGCAGCAGTTGTATTTGGAACTCCTATGGTTTTTGTTGAAGGTTCTGGGGTTGTGGTTTGAATCAGCATGGTTGTAGTTGGAGCTGGTGTGGTTCTGGTTGGATCTGGAATGTTTGTGGTTGAACCCTTTGATGTGGATATAGTTGGAGCTTCTGATGTGGTTGTAGTTCCTGCTGGTGTGGTTGTGATTACATCTCCAGTGGTCGATGTGGTTGGAGCTTTTGTAGTGATGGTGATTGGAGCTCCTGTGATGGTTATGGTTGGTCCTCCTGTCGTGGATGCAGTTGGAGCTGCTGTGACTGTGATTGGTACTCCTATGGTAGTAGTGGTCAGATCTTCTGTGGTTGTGGGTGGAGCTACACTGGTTGTGGTAGGAACCTTTGCGGTTGTTGTTGGACCATCAGTTGTTATACTTGGAACTTTTGTGGTGATTGTGGTTGGAGCTACAGTGGAGGATGTGGTTGGAGCTCCTCTGGTAGTTGTGGAAAGATCTGCTGTGGTTGTGATTGGAGCTGATGTGGTTCTAGTTGGAGCTGCAGTTGTTGTGGATGGAGATGCAGTGGTTGTGGTTGGAGCTGCTGTGGTTATTGTTGGAGCTGCTGTAGTTGTTGGAACAGCTGTAGTTGTTACTGGAGTTGATGTGGTTGTTGTAGGAGCTTCTGTGGTTATTGATGGAGCTACTGTGGTTGTAGTTGGAGCTGCTTTGGTTGTGGTTGGAGCTGCTGTGGTTGTAGTTGGAGATGCTGTGGTTCTTGTTGGAGCTACTGTGGTTGGTGTTGGAGCTGCTGTAGTTGTGGTTGGAGCTTCTGTGGTTGTAGTCGGAGCTGCTGTGGTTGTTGTCGGAGCTGCTGTGGTTGTGGTTGGAGCTGCTGTGGTTGTTGTTGGAGCTGGTGTGGTTGTGGTTGGAGCTGCTGTGGTTGTGGTTGGAGCTTCTGTGGTTGTGGTTGGAGCTGCTGTGGTTGTGGTCAGAGCTTCTGTGGTTGTTGTTGGAGCTGCTGTGGTTGTGGTCAGAGCTTCTGTGGTTGTTGTTGGAGCTGCTGTGGTTGTGGTCGGAGCTGCTGTGGTTGTTGTTGGAGCTGCTGTGGTTGTTGTTGGAGCTGCTGTGGTTGTTGTTGGAGCTTGAGTGGTTGTGGTCGTAGCTTCTGTTGTTGTTGGAGGAGCTGCTGTGGTTGTTGTCAGAGCTGCTGTGGTTACTGTTGGAGCTGCTGTGGTTGTGGTTGGAGTTGCTGTGGTTGTGGTCGGAGCTTCTGTGGTTGATGTCGGAGCTTCTGTGGTTGTTTTCAGAGCTGCTGTGAATGTTGTTGGAGCTGCTGTAGTTGTGGTTGCAGCTGCTGTAGTTGTTGCTGGAGTTAATGTGGTTGTGGTCGGAGCTTCTGTGGTTGTTGTTGGAGTTGTTTTGGTTGTGGTTGGAGCTGCTGTGGTTGTTGTTGGAGTTGTTTTGGTTGTGGTTGGAGCTGCTGTGGTTGTTGTTGGAGCTGCTGTGGTTGTTGTTGGAGCTTCTGTGGTTGTGGTTGGAGCTGCTGTGGTTGAAGTTGGTGCTGCTGTGGTTGTTGTTGGAGCTGCTGTGGTTGTTGTTGGAGCTGCTGTGGTTGTGGTTGGAGCTGCTGTGGTTGTGGTTGGAGCTTCTGTGGTTGTGGTTGGAGCTGCTGTGGTTGTGGTTGGAGCTGATGTGGTTGTGGTTGGAGCTGCTGTGGTTGTGGTTGGAGCTGCTGTGGTTGTTGTTGGAGCTGCTGTAGTTGTGGTTGGAACTTCTGTGGTTTTTGTTGGAGTTGCTGTAGTTGTTGGAGCTGCTGTAGTTGTTGTTGGAGCTTCTGTGGTTGTGGTCGAAGCTGGTATGTTTGTGGTTGGAGCTGCGGTAGATGTTGTTGGAGCAGCTGTAGTTGTTGCTAAAGTTGATGTGGTTGTTGATGGAGCTGCTGTGGTAATCACTGCAGCTGCTGTGATGGTCGTTGGATCTGTTGTGGTTGTGGTCGAAGCTGCTGTGGTTGTTGTTGGAGCTGCTGTGGTTGTGGTCGGAGCTGCTGTGGTTATTGTCAAAGCTGCTGTGGTTGTTGTTGGAGCTGCTGTGGTTGTGGTCGGAGCTTTTGTGGTTGTTGTTGGAGCCGCTGTGGTTGTGGTTGGAGCTTCTGTGGTTGTTGTTGGAGCTGCTGTGGTTGTGGTTGGAGCTGCTGTGGTTGTGGTTGGAGCTGCTGTGGTTGTGGTCGGAGCTCCTGTGGTTGTGGTCGGAGCTCCTGTGGTTGTGGTTGGAGCTGATGTGGTTGTGGTTGGAGCTTCTGTGGTTGTTGTCGGAGCTGCTGTGGTTGTGGTTGGAGCTACTGTGGTTGTTGTTGGAGCTGCTGTAGTTGTAGGAGCTTCTGTGGTTGTGGTCGAAGCTGGTATGTTTGTGGTTGGAGCTGCGGTAGTTGTTGTTGGAGCAGCTGTAGTTGTTGCTAAAGTTGATGTGGTTGTTGTTGGAGCTGCTGTGTTTGTGGTTGGAGGTGCTGTGGTTGTGGTTGGAGCTGCTGTGGTTGTTGTTGGAGCTTCTGTGGTTGTGGTTGGAGCTGTTGTGGTTGTTGTTGGAGCTGCTGTGGTTGTTGTTGGAGCTGCTGTGGTTGTGGTCGGAGCTGCTGTGGTTGTGGTTGGAGCTTCTGTGGTTGTTGCAGCTGCTGTGGTTGTTGTTGGAGCTGCTGTGGTTGTTGTTGGAGCTGCTGTGGTTGTGGTCGGAGCTCCTGTGGTTGTTGTTGGAGCTGCTGTGGTAATTGCAGCTGCTGTGGTTGTTGTTCGACCTTCTGTGGTAGTTGCAGCTTCTGTGGTTGTGGTCGGAGCTGCTGTGGTTGTTGTTGGAGCTGCTGTGGTTGTTGATGAAGCTGCTGTGGTTGTGGTCGGAGCTGCTGTGGTTGTGGTTGGAGCTTCTGTGGTTGTTGTTGGAGCTGCTGTGGTTGTGGTTGGAGCTTCTGTGGTTGTGGTTGGAGCCGCTGTGGTTGTTGTTGGAGCTTCTGTTGTTGTGGTTGGAGCTTCTGTGGTTGTGGTTTGAGCCGCTGTGGTTGTTGTTGGAGCTGATGTGGTTGTGGTTGGAGCTTCTGTGGTTGTGGTTGGAGCTTCTGTGCCTGTGGATGGAGCCGGTGTGGTTGTTGTTGGAGCTTCTGTGGTTGTTGTTGGAGCTGCTGTGGTTGTGGTTGGAGCTTCTGTGGTTGTGGTTGGAGCTGCTGTGGTTGTGGTTGGAGCTTCTGTGGTTGTGGTTGGAGCTGCTGTAGTTGTTGTTGGAGCTTCTGTGGTTTTTGTTGGAGTTGCTGTAGTTGTTGGAGCTGCTGTAGTTGTTGCTGGAGTTGATGTGGTTGTGGTTGGAGATTCTGTGGTTGTTGTGGTTGTGGTCGAAGCTGGTATGTTTGTGGTTGGAGCTGCGGTAGTTGTTGTTGGAGCAGCTGTAGTGGTTGCTAAAGTTGATGTGGTTGTTGATGGTGCTGCTGTGGTAATCACAGCAGCTGCTGTGATGGTCGTTGGATCTGTTGTGGTTGTGGTCAAAGCTTCTGTGGTTGTTGTTGGAGCTGCTGTGGTTGTGGTCGGAGCTTTTGTGGTTGTTGTTGGAGCCACTGTGGTTGTGGATGGAGCTTCTGTGGTTGTTGTTGGAGATACTGTGGTTGTGGTCGAAGCCTCTGTGGTTGTTGTTTGAGCTTCTGTGGTTGTTGTTGGAGCTGCTGTGGTTGTTGTTGGAGCTGCTGTTGTTGTGGTTGGAGCTTCTGTGGTTGTTGTTGGAGCTGCTGTGGTTGTGGTCGGAGCTTCTGTGGTTGTGGTTGGAGCTGTTGTGGTTGTTGTCGGAGCTGCTGTGGTTGTTGTTGGAGCTGCTGTGGTTGTTGTTGGAGCTGCTGTGGTTGTTGTTGGAGCTGCTGTGGTTGTGGTCGGAGCTGCTGTGGTTGTGGTTGGACCTTCTGTGGTAGTTGCAGCTGCTGTGGTTGTTGTTGGAGCTTCTGTGGTTGTTGTTGGAGCTGCTGTGGTTTTCGTCAGAGCTGCTGAGGTTGTGGTTGGACCTTCTGTGGTTGTTGTTGGAGCTGCTGTGGTTGTGATTGGACCTTCTGTGGTTGTTATTGCAGCTGCTGTGGTTGTGGTTGGAGCTGCTGTGGTTGTTGTTGGAGCTTCTGTTGTTGTGGTTGGAGCTTCTGTGGTTGTGGTTTGAGCTGCTGTGGTTGTTGTTGGAGCTGATGTGGTTGTGGTTGGAGCTTCTGTGGTTGTTGTTGGAGCTTCTGTGGTTGTTGTTGGAGCTTCTGTGGTTGTAGTAGGAGCCACTGTGGTTGTTGTTGGAGCTATTGCGGTTGTTGGAGCTGCTGTGGTTGTGGTTGGAGCTGCTGTTGTTGTGTTTGGAGCTTCTGTGGTTGTTGTTGGAGCTGCTGTGGTTGTGGTTGGAGCTTCTGTGGTTGTGGTTGGAGCTGCTGTGGTTGTGGTTGGAGCTTCTGTGGTTGGAGCTGCTGTGGTTGTGGTTGGAGCTTCTGTGGTTGTGGTTGGAGCTGCTGTGGTTGTGGTTGGAGCTTCTGTGGTTGTTGTTGGTGCTTCTGTGGTTGGGGTTGGAGCTGCTGTGGTTGGAGCTGCTGTGGTTGTTGTTGGAGCTGCTGTGGTTGTTGTTGGAGCTGCTGTGGTTGTTGTTGGAGCTGCTGTGGTTGTTGTTGGAGCTGCTGTGGTTGTGGTCGGAGCTGCTGTGGTTGTGGTTGGAGCTGC